GACAGGTGTACCCACTTTACCCAGATTCCATTTTCCTTTTCCAAGTTCTCCAATCCATAATATTTTTATTGCCACTAAAATGCTCTATGGCATCAACCACTTGGTCACCGTTGAATAGGGGTATGCAGAGGTGATCATTTAACTAGCTGTTTTATCCCTGCAGGCCGTGGACAATGTCCCCTTTACCAGTCAACGCCAGTCAGTAACGCCTTTAAATCTAATCAGACAAGAAAAGCCAATTTCAGATACCCAGAAGCATTTCATTTCCTTCAGGCCCTCTTCCTCTGAAACCACTGCTAGTACCGACCTCTCAGGCAGAGAGGCAGAAGTGCTCTCTATATAACAATGAAGCTTTTCGGTAAAGATTTGGCCTGGTGCAGACGCGAGAGCTGGCTTCGCACTCCATGCAAGGCTGTTTCTCCCGTGTTTGGTGCTGCGGCCTGAAGTCGGCAGGGCAGACCGTCTGGAAGGGAAGACGGGTGTGAAGTGGGAGGAGAAAGGACAAATGGAACCTGGGCAGGTGAGTGACACCCACCTGGGTCTGCAGCCCCCAGTTTCGCTGCCAGTGCAGCCTGCGGGCAAGGCGGGCTCCCTCACCCACGGGGCCAAACACACAGCAGCCCGAGAGCCCAAGTCAAACGGAGAGAACCGCCGGCTCACACCGGCAAGGCAGGCTGGCAGGTCCGTGCCACCATGCCCGAGACGCACACAGATCTTGTGCCTTGCTCCAACCTCCCAAGCATGAAAAGAATATGGCTCCTGCTTCCCCTCCGCCTTCCCCATCCCATGCGAAACACCTCTCCGGGCCCTGCCAGCCCTGAACTCCGCAGGCAACTCTGGGAAATGCAGCTTCACTAAAGTTGCAAAATCCAAATGAACCACACCCGCCCCGAACAAGACAGCATGTGTTTTCCCCAGTGCCTGTGGTAAGACCTGCCCCCAGCTCCAAGCTACCTGCCCCCGCAACCCCCGCCGTGTGATGCTACCTGCGCCACCGCCTAAGAACACAGCTCTGAGATCAGACAGGCTGCTTCCTTCCCACCTGTCTTCCTTGTTACCTGTGCAGCCTCAGGCAAAATGCTTCACTTCCCTAAGCTTCAGGTCCCGCCCCTCACGTGGGGATGAGAACTCCTGCCTCATAAGAGAGTGGGTAATGTCTACGCAGCATCCAGCACAGAGAAGGGGCTCGATGCACCCACTGCTACATGAACGCACCTTCACCCTGTCCTCTCCCCTCTGGCTGGACCAGCGGGCTCTACCTTTGATGCATTTTCGGTTTGGTAACAGCTACGAGCAAAGTCCCCCCACCTCCCCAAATGTAGGTATGTTCATACAGATTATTTTACATATGTTTCTAGGGTTGCATTCGTATCTGAAGCCCCATTTCAGAAGCCAGGAGTGGACCTGTATTTATAAGACAATCTGTCCCGTAAGTGTGGATTTGTGTTCTCTGCCCACTTTTATAGAAAGATCTAGTAAAGGAGACATTTGCCATCTGGTCTGTACATTTCAGTGTCTCCCTTTAAAGGGGAGCCATGCAATTGTGTGTGGGGGGGGTATCTCCCTGATGATTCTCCTGCTGGCCAAGGGGTGGACAAATGAAACAGTCGAGGAGAACACTCTTCGTTCCAAGTTTTGGGGCTCACTCGGCTCTCACCATTTCCCCGGGGCCAGCAGCAGCCATGGAAGACGGCAATGGGGTCCCCAGACAGACTGACCATCCAGGGACAGCCTCTGGAACCCAAAGAGGCAGTCAGAGCAGAGACGACATGGAGCTGGCCCTCAGCTGGTATGCAGGGGTCCTCCTGTGAAGCCCCAATGTGGGAGAGTCCCTGAAGTGCCCTGAGTTCCTGTTTCTGCATTTGTGGGCTGGACTTGAAGATAGCGGGGGACAGTGGCCAGCGCCCAGGGTTTAAAGCTAGGATCCGATGTGTAATTCTACTTCTGCTGTCGATGTGCTATGCAACTTTGGGAAGGTCTCCTAACCTTTCTGGGCCTCAATTTCCTGGTACATAAATGAGGGCTCTCCATGGTTCCTTCCAGCTCAAACCCATGTTAGCCTGAGGTGTTGCTTTCATAACCTCAGTATTCCTCGCCTGTCTGAGCCTGTCAGTGCCCTGGGGCTCTGAGCCAGGGTGCCCCGATGAGAAGCGCCTGCCCATAGAGCTTAAAGCCAAACACTGCCTTGCCTGCCATCTGACCCCAATGGGAGAAGGGAGAAGTCTGGGCTAGGTTCTCTTCCCCTCATCCAGAATCTTACCACTGAAGAAAAAAGGCGTTAGAGTGAAGCTTCCAACTTCCTCCACACATCCATTTAAAATCACATCTGGGGGCCAACGCCCCGGTGGAGACGCTGAGGTCACCATCAGATTTGAAATATTTAAAGTGGATATAAAACTATTTCAGCAATGCAGACAATTGTGTTGTTGTGGGCGATGGCTTCGTTGTTCTTCCTCTTTCTTGGCTCTT